ATCAATTAAAGACCTGAATCTTATGTCAGGGACTAAATGTTACTCCTTCTAAGATACAGTGCAGTAGTGGCTTGGATTTTAAGCCTGGAACTGCATAGCCCAAGAATGGATTCCATGTCTGCATAGACATAGCTGCATAGAGGGCAGCTGAAGGATGCCTGCACAGGCTCTCCAGTGCTGTTTGTGTCCCTTGTTTGTTAAAGGGAAATGGTAACAGTCCATACTATAATCCATATAACGCTCTGAATCCAAAGCTTCATATTTGGTTATTGCTCAGTAAATGTTAGCATTTATTATTTAAGGACTTTTCCAATTGGAGATATCTCTGGTGAGCCTAATTTCGGTTCTCACCCAGGTGTTTCATGTGGCTGTAGCATCTATCTACAGAGAGTCTGGTGAAAAATGGAGACTGCAGTGGGTCTCCATAGACAGACAGGCTTAACCACAGATGAGTAAAACCTTTTAAACATTATCCTGGGACCAGTTAAGTTAACCAGTACAGCAGTTGAGCATTTAGAGAACTTGACATTAAATCTTTAAGGTGTTTTTAAAATGTGCTTTTCCGTTGGTATAGATTTCAAATTATAAACTAAGATTCAAAGGTCAGTTTTCTGGTGATGAGAAATTTCTTAAGCTAAAAACTAGGGAAAACAAGTCCTTAATTGTGCTTTTCAGTTTTATTGAGCTTCTGGCTTGGATTTCCTGAGGTTGTAATTTATATGAGGTTGTACTCTCTTTAACAACCTCTAAAAGCCATGTTGGAGATGCATTTTCTAGAGTTTTTTTTTTTTTGAAGGAACAAATAAGATATTTAAAAGGACTGTTTTTTGCATAATATTTTAAAAATATCTAATTCTATAAGTTGAAGTATGTAAAGCTTCCAAATTAATGCATAATGCATTCTTACTTCTTCTATAGAAATATAATTAGAAACAAATGTATCATACCAAACATACACTGATAAAAAAGATGGACCCTGAATTCAAATATTGCCCTTTACTTCTTAGTGGCTTAATTAATTTAGACAACTTGCTAAAATTCTGTAATCAATTTCTTCATCTATAAGAGCCTGACTAATAGGGTTACCTAGCAGGGTCATAGTGTGTGCTAAATTTCTAGATTGTGTGGAATTAAATATGTTACTTAGGACATATGTATACATATTGCATACATAATTATAATAATGTCCGGCACATAAATATACATATGGTTGAAGAAAATGATGATGATAACTACCAACAAATCTGAAGTAAAAAATATTACAGTGGACCCTTGACTTATGAACTCATTTTGTTCATGAGGCTTGGTTGTAGCTCAAGTTGGTCATGCTCTTCCACATAGCCTTCAAAGTCTCTCTTCTATATAATCTTAGGTCACACTTTCTTCCAGGCAGATCTCAGTGTTCTTAGGCATTTTCCCAGATTTCTCAGTTAACCCCACACAGAAAGGGATGTTGTATGTTCCTTCCAGTACTCTTTAAAGGTTAAATCTGTATCTGAGACCATCTGGAAGCACAAGTGGCTGGCATTCAGGTCATAATTCAAAGATTTTGGTCATAAGTTAAAACTAAAATTCCAGTTGTAACGCAAGTTATCTGTATGTCAGGCTGGTTATAACTCGAGGGTCTATTGTATATTATTCAATATTTTTTTAAACTATCTGAAAAAAAAACATTTTAATGACAACTAGGTTTGGGGGCCGGGATTTATTCAGTTTGGTGGTGCTGCCATCTGCTTCACAAGTGCAAGGTCTTGAGTTCAACCCCTGGTACCAAAAAACAAAGAAACAAACAAAAAATCTGGGCTTGGGCCTTAGCCTCTGGAAAAAAGTTATTCTAGTGCATATCAGAAAACTTGGACTTACGGCTGTGCTGCCATTCAGACTAGGCAGTTTATCTGGCCTGTGAAAACATCTCTCTTTTTGTATGTAAAAGTGAAATAAAATTTTGTATCTCAGATATTGATATGAAAAATAAAGTCATCTCTTGAAAGAAGTTTGTCTGCATTCAGAACAGCACTCTTAAGTAAAAAATGTGAGCCACATATGTAAATTAAAATTTTTCTAGTAGCCACTTAAGAAGTGAATTTTAATAATATATTTAACCCAGTATTTCTGGGTTAGTCATGTCAACATGTAGTTAACGTAATAATTGCTGAAAGCTTTTTTATGTTATTTTACATTTAGTGACTATATATATATATATATATAAATATACACACACACATACATATAATTACAGTGTATCTCAACTTGAACTAACCATATTTCAAGTGTTCATTACCCACATGTGACTGGGGACTGTGATATTGAACATTCTACGTCCAGACTGTAGATCAGTAGTATTCTTATCAGTGTTCTTGGTACTGGTATTGCGCCTGCCTCAAACAATTAGTGTAGCCTTATTCTTAAAACTGTGCGCCTTTGGATGCTTAATAATTATACCTCTTTAATCAGGCAACCTAGATTAGTATCATTGTACCTGGGAGGATAGGGTCCTGCCTTGATACTTTTGGCTGACCTGAATGAGGATTTGCTCTGGGCTTGACATGCATATCTTTGTTTGGTCAAGGCTGGTAGACAACAAAGGAATGCTGAATCCTTTCATAATGATAAATCTTTTGAACCATAAGGATCGGAACTCCATGTCAGGATCATGCTTTGTAAAACTCCTTCACTCTGGTTTCTAGTCTGTCCTTTTCAGCCTCTTTCTCAAATTTCTGAGACTTACGTAGGGGCCCTGGAAAAAGAGCAAATGTCAGCAGTCCTCTAAACGTATTCAAATGATATGTTCTCCATTTCAGTGTGGCATAACAAGGCAGCCTTCTCTTCTCAAAAAATTAGTTTGGCTTTTTAAAAAGACATTTAAAAACTGAGCGTAGTAGACCTGTGATTCTAGCATTTTGGGAGGCTGAGGCAGGAGGTTTGCAAGTTCAAACCCAGCAAGGGCAATTTAATGACTTAGAAAGACCCTGTCTCAAATTAAAAGTGGTGGTGGGCAGCTGGGGATATAGTTCAGTGTAAAGACCTGGTTCAATCCCCAGTACTGCCAATAAATAAATAAATAATAAAAGATATTTAAAACCTTTTGAGTGATTCGGGGGCCAGTGAAGGTATTCAATTCTACATGATAACCCTAAGCTAAGTGTAAAACGTGTTTTCTCATACTGTCTTTCACATACATTTGGAGAGGCCTGTAGTGAGGGGAAGGTGTTACCCTAAATAGGTGATGGTGTGATGGGAGTAAAGGAAATTTCTTTCGCACTCATCCACAGAGCTGCTTAAATATCACCTTCTTAGGGAAGCCTGCCCTGATCACTGTTTAGCTGCCAGCCCCCAGGACTCCCATCTACCTTTTTGAAGTGGAGGACAGGATAAAAATATCACTTAGCATAAACTAAAATTATTTGCTCATATTCCTGAATAGATTCTGACCTCCATAACATTGTGGACTTTGTCTGCCCCTGCATCTTCAACTACTAGTATGATGCCTAGCATTCAATAAATGCCCATTAAATCAGTGAATAAATAAGTGAAACAAATGCTGTTATTTTATATATGTATTAAATACTTTTGAAATTAAAGACCTGAGAGATTTCTTCCCTTTCACGCTCTAGCCAGTATATGTAATACATTTGAATTTTCAGACCTAATCTCAGCGGTAGGAATTCTAGGTTCATTCTTGACTAAGGTAGATAAACTTACATCTAGATAATGTGGGGCATGAAGAAGGGGAAAGGAGTACCTTGAAGTTAAATTGTCAGAGGAGGATAGATTAATATTTCTTGATGCCTTCACTTGGTAAAAATTTCAGATTATACAGGGTCATAATGAGGAGGAGGAGTACAGGAAAGGGATTTGGATTGAAATTTTATAGTTCATATGCTATAAATTTATGAATGTTTTGGGGTGAGATAATTAGAATAATAGAAGTTTAGATTCATAACCAGAGAAATGAGTAGTATTTGAAGGAAATGTAGGGTTATATAGTGTTTTGGCTTCAAATCCACCAGTCATATCTGCATTGTCTTTATTCAGAATCTTTATTTAAAATTTTTTATTATTCTTGTTAGTTTCACATTTTTTCTTCCAGCTTATCTGTCATGCCTTTATACCATTCTGATACCCATACATTTGCTCCATAGAATTACAGTCCCTATGAGTACAAATTTGACATACTCCACAAGGCCAGAAAACTCATTATAACTCCTGGTACTTGGCCAATAAAAGTAAGATCAACACATTGAAAACTCTCAGGTTTCATTCAGAACTATTTATCACATTCATATAAATTTTTAACAAAAGAGGTAAAGGCAATCTTAAATGTTTTTACTTTTCTCTGAACTACTTTTTTTTCAGCTTTAATTGAGTTTATTGGTACATTTTAGGGATACAGTACAGTTACATTCATTGTTGGGATCTTGTACCTCTACATGACAGGTCTTGGTTCTCATTTTTTCCCCTTGTCCCTGCCCTCCCTTCACCCCCTCCTCCCCTCCCATCTACCAACACTTTATTTCCATCTTTTCATTATTTCACATTTTTTCTTTTCCCTTATTACCCTTCCCCTACCCATCCCACCTTCCCTACACCTTTAGCCCCTTTCTTTCCATTTCACAATGTCTGTAATCTTATTAGGATCTTATGTATTACTGCAGTTTATTCACACCAGAGAAATTATTCGGTATTTACACGTGTGACTTATTTATTTCACTTAGGAGTATGACTACTTCTTTAAGTTCTATAAATGCACCATCTTTTAAAAGGAATATGAGTAGAATACTATATGATTTGTGAATATAAAAACAGTAAGCAAAATAGTATTTTTTATGTATCATGGCTCTAGGTTTGTATTCCATTTGGGTTTACTACAGTTTTAAGGTTTTATACAGTTTGATATAATAGTAATATACTGCCTGTAGTAGGTAATGTTTTAAGGACTATTTCTACTTAAATGATAGTTCAAACGATCCATTTTAACCTAACACCTTCTTTCTTCTTAGTCTGTAAGACTTGTATTGTTCAGCACTTCGAAGACAGCAATGATTGTCCCAGGTGTGGCAACCAAGTTCATGAGACAAATCCATTAGAAATGTTGAGGTAAGGAAATGTATTTTATAGTTCGCCTGATTTAAATGTAAAAACTCTTAGTTTTTTTATATACTATATATTTCTTAATGTCTTGACAATTAATTTAGGTCTTAGGAATTTTATGATTTTCATTTTAAATAATTTTATTTTAAGATTAAAATAAGAGTGTTTATATTAAATATTTAGGAAATTCATTTGAAAATTAAAATTTTTAACTTTCTCTTAGGTTTTTAGAATACTTTAGTTGCTACATAAATATGGTGGCCATAGCCTGTGGACTTTTTTCATTGAGGAAAAAATACTCATCAGCCAAGAGTAAGAAAAAGGGGACTTGGAGAGCAGAGGAGAGGGGGACAGGGAAAGTATAGTGTGACTCCTGGCAGCATGAAAAGCACATTTGGGTTGTATTCATGAATTTGAAGGCATGTGGTGGTTTTCTTTTTCAGCCATGGGTACAAGTGCAGAGTTAATGGAGAGTTGAATTTAACTAGAGTAGTTGTTATACCAAACAGTTTTGAGCCAGTAAGAGAGACAAGAGAATCAAGGGAATATGTATGGGAGTGATTTTAATGATCGTATCAAGCTTAACCTGGAGTTAGAGTGGTTAGAAATGTCTTAGAGGAAATGGAGTGAATCTAGTCAATTCCTGATTGGTGTGCACATAGTGAGAAGAGATTATTTTTGAGAGTTTTGGAATTAGGTGTATTGTAAATGGAAGGAAGTAGTTATTATTAAAAAATAGAGGCTATATCTATAGAGAGTGCTTTGTGAATACAAAAGGGAGGGATTGAAGCCAGGGCCTCCTGCATGCCGAGTGCACACTCTGCCACTGAACCATACCCCAACCCCATAATTATTTATTAATTACCGTGTAAGCACTGGTACTAGAAAAAATATATATTGGTAATAAAAATATGGAAAATGGAAGAAAAAGGCATATGTTGGGAGGAAAGGGAAGGACATATAATATAAGAGAACTAAGCTTTTAAGAAAGTCAGAAAATTATACAGAGAAAATGTGGAGCTTTTTTTTTTCTTTTTAAGAAAAATATGAAAGTAAATAGAGGGGCCGGGGATTTAGCTCAGTGGTTCCCCCACCTGCCAGGCAAGTACAAGGACCTGAGTTTGATCCCGGGTACCCCCCACCAAAAAAAAGAAAGTAAATAGAAGAGTTTGGATTTGAAAGTGGTTACTTTTGAGGTGGTAGGAATCAGAATGGCTGGATAGGGCCTGGGAATGTTATATTTTAATATATTTTTTAAGGAAATTTTATTTTTAATTTTACAATATTTACTTTTAAATATTAAGTTAAGAAAAGAAGTCCTATTTCTTATGTATTACTACTACTAAAAAGTCTGGGAAAACTTTGTAAATGAGTATTTGAGTTGTCTTAAAGAATAAAGTTAATGCCAGTTTGCTTGGAGTATAAGAAGAGTATTTGAGCCAGGATAAAAAACATGAGGGAGAAAAACAGAAATGAAAGTAGAAGGAATTCTTGGGGTAAGTAACTAAGCCAGCTGACTAGAAAAGAGAGGCGTGAGAAAATAGCACCAATTATGTTAGATTTGAGTTATATAAACACTTGAAGCCAGGTAATAGGAAGAAATTAGTTCTTAATCTAGGAAATAATGATCAAATTAGTAATCTGGGGAGAAAGCATTCTGAGAATGACAAGCTACAGGAAGATAGCTCTGTGTCTTACTTTGACAAGGTGGTAAATGATAGTGGATGGATGGGGTAGTGGGGAAAGGCTGGATGGAAGAATTGTTGAGCTGTGAGTGAGACTTAGTTGAAAAGTATGTGAATCAGAGACAGAGAAGTTAATTCTTTATTTGAGCCTGTTTGGAAGAGTTGCTATATCACTTAATTTAATTGTAAAAGTGAGATAGTGAAGGATAGTCAGTATTTCATTGGAGGAGGGTTGATGATACAGCCTTCATACAGAAGAGGTAGTTGAGGTGTTCAACATCTGTGGAGATGTGGAACCAGTGCTTGGCAGTGAGACATCACAGACATAGTTCACTACCTTTGTGGTAGTTTCAAGCCACAAATATAGATGTGATCCTCAAGGAAGACAACCCATTGAGAAGTTCAAAGGACATAGGGTATACAGCAATAGATTGAAAAGTACAGCCAGTCCTTTGTGTCTGTGGGTTCTACATTCACAGATTTAACCAACCACAGAGCAAAAATATTGGAAGAGGGTCTGGAGATGTAGCTTAATGGTGGCATATTCGCCTACCCTGCATGGGTTTCAATACTCAGCCTGGAAAAAAATAAAAGATTAAAATTAAGAGGAAAGGAGAGTGAAAGGGAATAAAGAAGAGAAGTATTTGGGGGAAAATTGCATTTTGTATTGAACATGTGCAGATTTTTTGTTATTATTCCCTAAACAGTGCATACCGTTAGCTATTTATAGCATTTATTTTATAGCAGGAATTATAAGCAACCTAGAAATTATTTAAAGTATATGAGAGGATAGGCATAGATTATATGTAAATACTTTATACAGGGGACTCGATGATTTTGCTCTTTTTGAGTGATCCTGGAACCAGTTACCCGTTGATACTGAGGGACAACTTTATTTAACTGTTTAGTAGCAAAGAAATAAATTAAAATTTTTGATAGTGTTAATATTCAAATATCTGCAGAGCAATATAAGAGAATTAATTTTTAAAATAAATTTAAAATTTTTTCATCTTAGAGCCAGATGTGGTGGTGTATACCTGTAATCCTGGCATTCAGATGATTGAGACAAGAGAATCTATGAGTTCAGGGCCAGCCTGGCCACTGGCTGTATAATGAGACTCTTGTTTGAAAAAAAAAAAGTTTTTCTACTTTAAAATCTTAAAAGTATTTAGTATGAAGAAAGTTATAGATAACTTTAAAGGTTCAGGAGGAAAAAAAGCAAAATGGAATATGTGACAAATAATACAGATTTATGCTTTCAAATTTTTTTTAGTTGGGAGAAAAAGAATGAAATGATAGCTTTAAAAGATAATGAGTTAAGCAAATTTGTTTTCCTTTTTTAGATGTGAGGAAACCTTTGCATGTTTGAAGATATTTGAAGTCAGAGAAGAGTAATACTCTTGAGCAGGATGAAGGAGACTAAGTGAAAAGGGGGTGTTGTGGGATCAAGAAGATAGATTGAAGAAATAAAGCCATGAAAAGGAAAAATTATCTAGCAGGAAAAGAAAATAAGAAAAGTTAAAGATAAATATTTAAGTTTTTATCAAGGAAGACAGAATAACTAAATTTTCTCCACTTCTCAGAAAAGAGCAATGGAGATGATTTCCATCTCAGGGAAGAACTAGGGTTTTGGTAGAGATTTCAAGAGTGAACTTATCAGCTACTGCTGCATATAAGAAATAACCTCTAAAATAATGCTTGAGAAAGTAAGCACTTGTTACTCCTCACAGTTCATGGAATGGCTGGTGGTTCTTTTGAACTGTCATTAGCTGCGCACCCATGAGGCTACTCTGCTGCTCTTTGCTGCATTCTTCCCCATGTTGCAGGTGGGCTGTCTGTGGCCTCATCTAAAATGGCCCCAGGAGGGTAGAGTGGTGTTCCTCTACATGGTGCCTCATCCTCCAGGCTTGTTCTTAGGCTAGCAGGATTCTGAGAGAGAAAACAAAGCATGTTTCTGAAAATTGGGCTCAGAATTAAGCATAGCTGTCATTTGTTCATAGTCTGTAGGTCTGAGCAAGTTTCAGCCCTATATTCTCAGGGCTGAGAAGCAGACCCCAACCCATAGGGGAGGGTATAGAGTGAGAGCTTGGAACTGGGATCATTTTTTTAATACAGTCCACCACTGGCAAAGGCTACAAAATGGTTATGCTCCATGTGCAGAAGGATTTGGTATCCTAGGTATGCTAAAATAATTATTCTATATTTTGTGATACATGCATGATATAAATCTAAAGCTATATACATACTAGATCTTAATGTCTTCATTGTTAGTATATTCTCCCCCCCCCTTTGAAGGTTGGATAATACATTGGAGGAAATTATATTTAAGCTGGTTCCTGGACTGCGAGAACGTAAGTTGCTCTTTAGGTTCTCACAGACTTGCAGTTTTATGAACTCAGTATTTCTAATAAGATTTCATGATTGCTCCTGGTTTATATTCTTTTTTTCTTTTAAATTAGAAGAACTTGAGCGTGAATCTGAATTTTGGAAGAAAAATAAGCCTCAAGAAAATGGTCAAGGTAACTTTTTATGTCTGTATCTAGCAGCATCTCTCAAATTGGTTAACTTTTTGGTCAACTCTTTAAATTCAAAACTTTTTGTTGCTTTTATAAACTATTATGTCTTTTTCAGATTTCTCTTGCACAAAATTCATGTTCTCCTGTTTTTTCTCTTCATAAGATTTTATATGTAAATCTATACAAATCTGGTTTTCCATTGAGGGCAGTTGGAAATAGAGGAAGTTGGACTTGGGATGAGAAAGAAAAGAAAAATAAAAGAGAAAAGTGACTAGGTGATTATGGCAGTAATTTCTGAATAGGAAAAAATCTGAAGTAAGAAATAGCAACTAAATAAGACTTTAATAATTTTTTGTTTTGGTGCCAGAAATAGAACTCACTTGCTCTTGCCAGGCAGGTGTGGCACTATGGGGCTAAATCCCTGGCCCTGTTTTTATTTATTTTATAAGTTGATTTTAATAGGAGAGAGAACTAAGATGTAACTGAAGGTCAGATTAAAGGATATTGCTATGTTCTGATACTCTGGAATGAAACTTTCATAGGTGGACCTCAGATGACACAAATTTAACATGTCCTGGAAATGTTAAAAATACCTCAGTGGACTTATTGGAATTTTTCCTATCATTTATCCCAAGTGTCCAAATCTCTCCTGTTGGTCACAGGAGACTCAGCACTTGGTACTTTTAATAATTTCAACAAAAACATTACTGTTCAGAGAAAGGCCTTTTAGCATGTATTATCATTGCAAAGGCTTCTCTGAGATAATAAGCACGTTGGATTATTTCCCATTTTTTAAATATTAAATTGCATTCAAGATACCTAAATACCATTCAAATCTTTCATATATATGTGTGTGTACATATATATATACATATATATTTGCCAATTAAACATCAGTAAGATGGATGAAAAATGCTGCCTTTCTCTTTTTCATCTGTAAAATGGGATCATTGTTTTATTACTTCAGTTTAACTAGGCAGAACTGTTTTCCTAAGCAAAGGATGTCTGCCACCACTTTGGGTGACTGGAGTAAGGTAGCAAGGCACTATTTTTAATATATAACAACAAAATGGGCAAAGAAACTAAAATAACTAAAGCCTTATTTTATTTAAATGTGCATTGCGATTGGATGGTAGTGTCATAGCAAAAAGATAACATAAGGTTAATTAAATGTTCCCGCTTTTACTGCCTGCTCAAGAGGACAGGAGCACAGAGAATTTTCATCAGAAGTTGTATGGTAGATTTAGTCTATGATTTTTTGTATCAGATTGACTTCTCCCTTCTAAGTACTAACAGACCTGACTGCTTAGCTTCTGAGATCAGATGAGATCGGGAGCATTCAGGGTGGTATGGCTGTAGACTGTATCAGATTGATTTCTAAAGGGCTGTAGCCTGCTAAATTAGCTCCCTCTTCCCAGTTCTTCGTTTTAAAAATGGAAGAATTATGATAATTAATAAGATAAATGATAAGAATTTATGATAATTAATCTTCTGGTAGAGAATCTGGATCTTGTTTTGGACCTGTTTGATTCATAGAAGGCACTTCCTGTCTACCTAGTTTCCTTATAAGTATGAAGAAGAAAGGGATCTTACTTCCCCTATATTATTTCTTATAAAGCTTTTAACTATAGTCATTGAAAAGGGGCTGATTAATCATTGTGGGGTTGAGGGTGTGGGGGTCTACAAAATAATCCTTCCTTAGCAATTATTTCAAGTTTTAGCTTAGAGATAGTTATCTAGAAATCTTCCTTGAACCTTTGCTTCATCCCCAAAGTTTGAGTTCATTGTGTCTGTTATATATGCCCACAGAGTTATTTTACCTCACATCATGTGTTTTGTCTATTGTTTACTTTGTCCTATACCTTGGCCACTAATGATGTTAAGCATGATAGCCCTCTACTTTTATTAATCTTCCTTCAGGCCTAGCACAGTGCATGTCTAACACATTAGCAAAAGCATGCAATAAATGAATGTGTCAGTAAATCCAGTTGTATTATTTATGAGTCTGATTTTTGGTTTTGGTGAGTCATATATTATTGCTTTAACTTTGAGTTATAGCTGACTTTTTAAAAAATTATACAGATGATACTTCAAAAGTTGACAAACCTAAAGCAGAGGAAGGTGATGAAAATCAGGATGATAAAGACTATCACAGAAGTGACCCACAAATTGCTATCTGTCTAGATTGTTTACGAAATAATGGACAATCAGGAGACAATGTAGTCAAGGTGAGTGGACAAGTAAGTTGTTAGATGTTTTTTGTTTTGTTTTTTCCTCATTGAATTTATTGGTACATTTTAGGTATACAGTACAGTTACATTCATCACTGGGATCTTGTACCTTTACATGACAGGTCTTGGTTCTCATTTTTTCCCCTTACCCCTGCCTTCCCTTCACCCCCTCCTCCCTTCCCTATTTATAAATGCTTTATTTCTATTTTTTCATTTTCTCATTTTTTTTCTTTTCCCTTATTCCCTTTCCCCTACCCTTCCCACTTCCCCTACACCTTTAGCCCTTTTCTTCCTATTTCACATTGTCAATTATACCATTAGGATCTTATGTACAATTATAATTTTTCACACCAGAGAAACTATTCGGTACTTACACATGTGTGACTTATTTATTTCACTTAAGAGTATATCTTCAATATGTATATCCCCGTTTTGATTTCCATAGTGGCTGCACCAGTCTGCACTCCCACCAACAATGGAGAAGGGTTCCTTTCTCCCCAGAACCCCGCCAAAATTTGTTACTGGATTATTTGTTATCTGGATTTCTGTTGGATCTGTTGTGACTTTGCATTTTCATTCCTGATTGCATGGATCTGAGCCTTTTCTTTGCTTTTTTTGATAAGGTTAGCTAAGGGTTTTCCATAGTGGCTGCACCAGTCTGCACTCCCACCAACAATGGAGAAGGGTTCCTTTCTCCCCAGAACCCCGCCAAAATTTGTTACTGGATTATTTGTTATCTGGATTTCTGTTGGATCTGTTGTGACTTTGCATTTTCATTCCTGATTGCATGGATCTGAGCCTTTTCTTTGCTTTTTTTGATAAGGTTAGCTAAGGGTTTATTGATTGTATTTATTCTCTCAAAAAACCAACTCTTTGATTCATTTATTTTTTTGTATCATTTTCTTAGTTTCCATTGCATTGATTTCTGCTCTAATCTTTATAATTTCCTCTCGTATGAGCTTTGGGTTTTTCTTACTCTTTTTCTAGGAGTCTAAGATTCATCATCAGGTTTATTTGAGCTCATTCTGTTTTCTTTGTGTGGGCATTCAATGCATGAATTTTCCACATAGAACTGCTTTTATTGTGTCCCATAGATTCCCATAAATTCTTGTATGTTATATTGGTATTATCATTTATTTGTAAAAACTGTCTAATTTTTTCTTTAATTTCCTCTGTGACCCAGTTGTTTAGGAGAGTGTTGTTCAATTTCCATGTGTTTATGAAGTTCCTACAGTTTGTTATGCTCCAGCTTGATTGCACTATGATCTGATAATATACAGGGGATAACTTCGATTCCTTTGTATTTATTCAAACCTGTTCTCTGAGCTAGTATGTGGTCTATCTTGGAGAATGACCCCTGTGCAGCCAAAAAGAATGTATTTTCTGATTTTGTGGGGTGGAATACTCTATAGATGTCTATTAAGTCCATGTGTTCAAAAGCTTGATTCAGTTCTAGTATTTTGTTGTTGATTTTTTGCCTAGATGATCTGTCTATTTGTGATAGTGGGGTATTTAGATCCCCCACTACAATTGTATTAGTGCTTATTTGGTTTTTCATGTTACTTAATATTTGTTTTATATAGTTGGGGGCATTAATATTTGGTGCATATATGTTTATGATTGTCATCTCTTCTTCTTGAATTGTTCCCTTTACAAGGATGTAGTGGCCTTCTTTGTCTCTCTTAATCAGTTTTGGTTTGAAATTTACTTTGACTGTGAATAAGATTGCTACCCCTGCTTTTTTCTGGGCTCCTGACGCTTGGAGAACTGTTTTCCATCCTTTCACTTTCAGTCTATGAGTTTCTTTTTGCACTAGGTGTGTTTCTTGTATACAACATATTGTTGGATTTTGCTTCTTAATGCATTCTGCCAGGCTATTTCTTTTGATTCGTGAATTGAGGCCATTGACCTTGATGTTTATAACTGATATGTATTGAGTTTTTATTGTCATGTTATTATCCTTTTGTTGACTCTTTTTAATTTTTTCCCCTCTCTTTTTAGTTTCTTGCCTTGCCTATTTGATTTGGTCTGTTGGGCCTCATGGTGTTGTGACCTTCATTGTCTTTTTCTAGGATATTGTTTAGAATTCCTTGTAGTGCTGGTTTGGTGTTCAGGAAGTTTCTCAGATGCTCTTTGTCATGGAAGTATCTTATTTCCCCATCCATTTTGAAAGAGAGTTTTGCAGAATACATCAGTCTAGGTTGGAGGTTGTTTTCTCTTCTGACTTGAAATACCTCACTCCAGGCTCTCCTTAACCTGAGGGTTTGTGTTGAAAAGTCTGCTTTGATTCTGATGGGCTTTCCTTTGCATGTGATTTGTTTCTTTTCTCTTACTGCTTATAGTATTTTGTTCTTCTGTTGGGTTTCTGGGATCTTCCTTATTATATGTCTAGGTGTAGTTATTTTTTTAATCATGGCTAGTTGGAGTCCTGTATACCTCACTTATCTGTATGTCAGGTTCTTCCCCTTTGTTTGGGAAGTTTTCTGTCATTAATTCTGTGAACAGCTTTTTTAACTCATTTGCATTTTCTCCTGCTACTTCATGGATTCCTTATCAGTCTTATATTACTCTTCTTTGCATCATCTAGGAGTTGTTGGATCGATTTCTCATGGTCCCTTACTGTTTTTAAGAGACCTCCCTTTTCACGGTCACTGACTGTAATCCTATCTTCTGTATCTGAAATTCTATCTTCACATTCTTTTATCTTGTTGCAAAAACTTTCAGTAAAGTTTCTAATCTCCTGGATATGTTTGAATCTGTTTTATGGATTCCATTTCTTTCCTATGTTGGGCATTCATGATTTCCATTTCTTTCTTCTGCTGGGCCTTCATGGCTTCTGTCCTGGTCCTGAGCGCATCTATTTTTTTGTCAGTTTCTGTTCTAGAATCTCGAATCATGATTTTCATTTTGCTCACCATCTCCATGCTTATCTGGGAAATTATTTCTGTTTTGAATTTTTGTAGAGCCTGATCTGTTTTGTTACTTCCTGTGCTATGGTTTCAGGGTGTCCTGGTGTCTCACTATCAGACTTTTCATCCTCCTTCTTTGCTCTGCTATTTGCCATTGGTTAACCCGGAAGTCTGTCTTTGTGTCTTGCTTAAGTGTGTTCTAGTTTTTATTTTTGTTGCTAGGTTTTCCTTGGTTTAATTCCTGGGTTATTACTTAAATCTTCCTCATATAGTTGAGCTTTAGCTTTTGAGTCTCTAATGACTCATAGACATTCTCATAGGCATTTTCATAATATCAGAGAAGGCAACTCATTAAATCGATCATAACCCTTTAGCCCAATTGATACAATCAGCAACACAGTAGGATCAAGCACAGCTTTACAAGTTGACCATTTGTAGTAGTCATTAATCTATCACTTTTAAACTATGTGAATTGAATTAAAATCAAGAAGCAGCCCAAAATATGTTTGCAGTGAATAAGCTCTTCAGTATAGCATCTTTACCATTTAGGATGGGGACTTAGACTGAGTTGGGGCGAGAGGAGTAGATAAGTAAAAGAATTGGAGAAGGTTTCAAGTGAAGCCAGAGGACATAGGATGGCCATACAATCTTTAGGAAACTTAAAGGCAAAAGGGAAAACAGAGGGCAAGAATATAACAACTTAACAGTAATTGGGGCTCGCTTTCCTTTGAAACTGTTGACCCTTGAGTGAAGGAAAATGAGAGAAGAAAAGAATATAAAGAAAAAAGAAGAAACGATAAAAGAAGAAATCTGAGTTAGGGCAGGAGCAGGAACAGAAAGGGAGATGAGGAATAATATGGGGGAGCAAGAGTCTGAGTTGGAAAAAGAGGACAGCTAAAAGAATTTGTAGAGTGGAATAAGGAAAAGAATGGAAAAAAGAATTTGAAGGGCCTCTTTTAGATTCAGGCTGACTTTGGGCTGCAGGGCCCAAATTGAGCTCCCTGACCTCCTGCAGGGTTGAACTCCACCAAGTTCTACCACAGGTTCCCTTTGCCCTTTCTTTGAAGATATTCAAAGTCTGGAGCTCAGAAAAATGCCCTTTATGACCACCTGTGCCTCTGCAGAGTGGATCCAAGGACTGGCACATTGGGTTGCAGGGGCACCCACAGCAAGCTAGTCCTAACCGATTGGCCCCAGGCAGGCCAGAGCAACAATGGGCTCAGAGTAGCTGTCCCGGACCTCCACCTTCCTCCTTCCCTTTTGGGTTTTTTTTTGAAACAGGGTCTCACTGTGTAGTTGAGACTGACCTGAAACCTGCAGCCCAGGCTGGTCTTGAACTCACAGCGATCCTCCTGCCTCAGCCTCCCGAGTGCTGGGATTACAGGCATGCACCATCACGCCCGGTTTAAGTTGTATGTTTTGCTTTGTTTTTTTTTATTTTTTTGTGGTACTGGGGATTGAACTCGAGTCCTTGCGCTTGCAAGGCAGGCCACCGAACCGCTAAGCTAAGTCCCCAGCCTTAAGTTGTATTTTTTTAATGATCATTTTATAGTAAATCCTTTTAAATTTGTTGTTGGATTTTCTAATACTTCAACTGTTTGCATCTAAAGTTTTTATTAACATAATCCAGTGGGAAGCACATCTTTGACAGTTCTGCAGATGTTCACGCAATTGCTTACTCTGGAGACCTGTATTTTCCACCACCACCAGGACCACCCACTCCCAGTCATCCTGTGCCAACCCTACCATCTAGTGGCTGATGCAGAGAATCACACCTCTGTTTCACCTCAACCTTTTGTACCTTTGTTGGGAGTTCATAGGCACTGTTTATCTTTTATATGTGGTAACCAACTCATGCTCAGGTATGTAATTTCATGTTAAGCAGTGGTTCTAACCCTTCTGTTCATTCTCTTTTAATTTACCTGTTTATATTTCTATTTGTAATTCAATAAGCTTTCAATATCATGGCTAATATACTTTATAAGTAATACTGGTTTGGAAGTAACATCGTTATAAAATACCTATGTACTTTTAAAGTCATTAAAGTCTCTGCATTATTTCCTACAGAATTTTCATTTCTAATCCTTT